AGGAGCTGTCAGGAAACCCTCAGCTGAGGGACGTACCAAAGATAGTGGGCCTGGAACCTTTGGGAGGGCCGAGGTCGCACGGGCCGAGGAAAGGGGGCGCTGCCCCGGTGTGAAGGAGGTGGACACAACCCAGCGGCTGGAGGGGCCGGCACTCGGGACAAGCCCCCTTGGGGCTGTGAAGGACATTATTGGAGTCGATGGGAAAACTCAGACGCAGTCTGAAGGTTCAGTGGCGACCTGCGAGTGTTAATTTCGTGGTTCCCTGCCTCGCGGTCTCGTTTTATGGGGGGGGCGGCTCAGGTGGGAGAAGACACACCCTAACGCGCTCAGAAGCCATGGAGCATCTGGGTGGCGACGTATAGTCAGGTGGTTGAGGAAGAGGAGTCCTGTGTCGTACCTGGAACCTTCCTGTAAGTTGGAAATTATTAAAAAGCAGTAAGATTGCCCCGACTGGTGTGACTTAGTGGGCTGGGTGTCATCCTGCAAACCGAAAGATCACTGGTCTGATTCCCAGTCAGGGCACACGCCTGGGTTGCTTGCGGGTTCGGTCCCTGGTTGGGGGCATGAGAGGCAACCGATCAACGTTTCTGGCGCACATCGATGTTTCTCTTCCTCTTGCTCTCCCTCTCTCCTCCTCTCTCTAAATATAAATACCTACAATCTCTTTGTAAGAAGAACAGTGAGATTATGCTTTCCCTGCCCTTGAGGAAACCACTTTCTCAGCTGCCACTTGTCCTTCCTGCGTTGACTTCTAGGCACATGCGAGGACAAGGTGAAGGCTGGGCTTCTTTTTGGTGCTGGTGGGAAGAGAGGGTGTGTATGTGGAGAACCCCAAAGATCCCATCGCTCAGGGACATAGGGCTGTGCCGGGGGCCGCCTGATCACCCAGGTGGACCCAAATCCCAAGGCACCCTGGACCAGGGATGAGCCTGTGCACTTGTTGGGGAGGGTGGGGGAGATGCCTCCTGAACGGAGGAAGCTCAAGCCTGGAGCCAGGACAGCAGTTAGAGACCCGCCTCCGCCTTCTTAGATCCCTGCAGCAGCCCTGCGGGGCATCCTCCTTCGGTCCTTCAGGGACTGAGCCATTAGCACCGTTAGCTCCGGCAGCCCAGGTGCTGCTCCAGATGTGGAGGTAGAGCAGTGAACAAGGCGAACAAAGCCCTCGCCCTCAACAGGCTGATGGCCTGGAAGGCAGAGGTAGCCAGTAGAAGAGGTGAATAAACAAAACGTAGAGGATGCTAGACGGCTGTGTGTTGTAAGGAGAGAAAACGAGGAGGGCAGTTAAGGGAGAATGGCAGCTGGGCATTGGACCTGGGCGACGGGAAGAGTACCTCTGAGAGGTGGTAGTTTGCATGTGTGTGCGTGTGCACACGCGTGTGGTCAGTTTCAGCTACGCTGTATTTGAAAGGCCTATGAAATCCCCAAGTGCTGATGGCAGAGGGGAGGTCCAGGCTGGAAATAGGAATTCAGGTATAGTAATAAGCACCTAAACAATCGTAAAGCTATGCATGAGCTGACTTTGGCAGGTCCAAGGGCTGGCACCTTCTCCCTCTTGAGAAGACTGGGTATAGAAAGGCTGCCTCATCTGCCCCAGATGACATGGCTGGTAAGTGGCAGAGCTGGGATTTGAACCTCGTGCTAAGTGTGTTTACAGCTGCCACAGAGTCTTGCACTATTAGGGCCATGGGCAGGTCACTCATCCTTGTGGAGGTTTGGCTTCCTCATCTATCAAAAGGGAGGCGGGCAGTGGAGGGACGGGTGGAAGGCAAGGATGATGCAGTGGGCCTAGTGGTGCTCAGGCAGATGACCAGAGAGCCAGCAGCCACCTGGACGGGCCACCAGAACCGTCCCGGGTATGTCCCCTGCCGCCTTCCCACCAGCCTCTCATCCTCGGACACCTGCTCTCCTCGGAACAGCCCTGTCCTCCAGGAAGGGGTGGGGCACAGGGCGAGACTCCTGTGCAGAGTCCAAGAGCCAACATATCACTTTACAGTGAGAAACCACCCACCACCCTGCCTGGAACTGTAGGGTCAGCATGACCTGTGGGCCCTCCCTGTGGGCACAGGATCCCAGCAAGCAAATCGCTGCCAGCTGGTCGCTGGGCGAACCTGGTGTTTGCAGACGGGAAGCTGGAGGGTGATGCAGGGTTGGTGAGACCAGGCTGGGTCTCTGGAGTGTCCCTGGACCCTGCAGGGGACTGGACTGGGCTCCAGGGCCTCAGCCAGTGCCCTGGCAAGGGCACCGCTTCCAGGTCGGCTCCGGGCTGGGCTGGCACTCCTGATGCTTCCGGGGCTGGCCAGGCCCTTCCGCTGACTGGGTCTTTCTTTAGTGTTGCTAATATCTTTCCGTCTGTCCAGGCCTGGTGGGGGCCCCGCCGCCCCTGTGGCTTAGCACTTCCACTTTGGGGCATCCAGAGGCTTCACAGTGTAAATGCCAAGGGCTCCTATCCTGTGGGGGCTGGGCAGGTGCCTGGCCGCACTACTTCCTGTCCCCCCTCCCCCTTCCTCTGCCAGATGGCAGGAGGAGGCCTCCAGCTGGCCACACGCAGTGTGGAAAAGTCCGATTTCTAGTCTCCCCCCATGAGGGCTGCTCCTGCCTGCACCCTCTGACCAGCTCCGCCCAGGCCCCCTGGGCGCGGACCCTGAAGGCACCGAGGCCTCAGCATGGCTCTGCCGAGGTCCGGCCCAGCTCAGCTCCGCCTGCCCTGGGCCTCTCAGCTGAGGCTGGAAGAGCAGCTGGCATTGCAGGGGGCCTGGAGGAGGGACAGACCCACAGCCAGGGAGACTTTCAGGAAGCTCTGCCTGGGTTTGCTCACTGTCCCCCTGCCAGGCTGTGGGCCCGGCCTGCTCCCTTGCAAGTCACTGCTCAGAACACTTGGCCTGGTGCTGGGCAGTGACTAAATGGAGGTGTCGGCATCTTGCGGGGCTGGGGCTTCACAGAGCTGGGGTGCGGGTGCCAGCCCCGGGGGTCCATGCAGGGCACCGCTGTGCTGGACTGGATTCTAGGAAGCCTGGAGTGTGGCGGCAACTGGCGTTCGAGGCTGTGAAGAGCTGCCCAGACGTGGCGGGGGGGCGGTACTCCGGGCCTGCACACCAAGGCGCTGGAGGGTGCGTGCAGGGCTGTGGCTGCCTATTGGAGGCAGGTGTGCACGCCTCCCGTGGGAGAGGGATGGTGGTAGCAAGGGCACTCTCAATGAGATGCAATTTGAGCATTTGGAGCCAAGCACTATGAAAACATTGGAAAGAAAATTTAGTGATATATCAGAAACTAACAAAAACCAAAACAATCATTTGTTAGGTGGGTCTGCAATGAGGAAAATGACAAGGTGAATTCTGATGTAACAGGTGAACCTGAGGCCTGTGGAGAGAGCAGGAAGCATGGAGCGATGACCTAGGTGTGCTTTACCCGAGGGAGGTGAGGTTCTGCCCCCACCCCGCCGCCCTGTGCCCACAACCCCCCAAGTCAGCCTCAGAGCCCAGCGGGGAAGCCTGGAGGGAAGGCAGGTAAGGGCACCAGGAGGGGCTCTGGTTTTGAAGATCAAGGCCTGCTTCCACCTCTGTTAGACACACACCTGCCGGGAACCCATGCGCCTCAGTTTCCCATCTGTGGAAGGATAATAAGCATCATGTCTACCACCCAAGGTCAAGGAAGGGACATGAGATGAGCACCGGTGTTGGTGGTGGCTGGATCGCAGTTCTTGTGGTCGTCAACACGCTCCACTGACCAGTCCTTGATGGGGTGTCTGCTCTGCGCGAGGCCCTGGGGGCTAGGGGAGGCCAAGGCCCACCTGGGGCTCTTCTCAGAGTCTGCCTGCCTGCCGGCCTGCCCTGCCGGCCCCCTGTCGGCAGCCGCCCGGCTGGGCTTCCCTCAGGGCTGGAAGGTGCTGGCTCTTTCTCCTCCCAGGGCCTCTGCTCTTGTTAGCCCTGCAACCCCTAAGCGCCGTCTCGCCCAGATATATTCCAGTCCCCTTTAGGCCTCTGCTTCCCTGGGGACACATTCCGGTCTGCCAGCCTGTGGCCACCCCAGCTTCTTGACATCTGCGTTTTCCACTGGAGCCCTGGGTAAGGGCTCCGGCCCATGTCCCCACGGGCTCTCTGAGAGCTAGCCAACCTCTCTGTGCCCCAGTTTCCCTACGTGTACACTAGGAACCACAACGGTTCCACCCCCCTAGGGATTGTTTTAAGGAGTAAACGAGATAAAGGCACCAAAGCCTGAGACCCGTGCCTGGCATCCAGTAGAGGCCGTGCCCGTGCTGTTACTCTCGTCATTGTTACTTCGCAGTCATTGTCATCAGACTACAGGGCTTCGCGGGATCGCTGCAGCAGCGCAGCCCCTGGCCCGTGTAAGCCACTTAGCCTCTCTCCGACCTGCTTAGGCACCTCGAGGGGGCTGCGTGTTCGGCGTTGGCACTGCCCGACTAGGAAGGACGTGGCAACACCACTGTTTCAAGGAAGGTCCGGTGCACAGTAGGCGCTTAAGAAATGGCCGGCTGACACTGGGAAGCCCGTGGCCGGGGGAATGCACGCTCCCTCCCTCCCCCGGTACGCGCTGGAACGCTGAGGCTGCCCACATGGTCTTTAAGGTGTGTCTGCTTCTAACGACAGCCACTTCCACAACAAAGAAGCTCGCCTCCGTGGGGCCACCTCCCCTCGGTGCAACCGGGAGGCGCAGTGGCCGAGGAGCCTGCCATCCCCCAGGCCTGCCGCGAGTCCCAGCTGGGCAGCCGCTCCCGTTGGGGGCAGCCGCACGGAGGGTCTGGAGTGGTAGCCACGCATGGCCGCCTCACGCCGAGGTGGCGCCCAAGGGGCGTGCGACGACACCGCCTCCAGCCGCAATTTAAAGGGCAGCGAGGGGCGGAGGGATCCGTGCCGACTGCTCAGCACGGATCCCTCCGCCGCGAGCGACGTGCAGCAACGACTCGGCTCGGCTCCTCAAAATTCGCTTTTTGTTCCTCCGCCGCGGGAGCACCCGGCGGGGGGACTCATTTCTTTCTCGGGTTTCTCCGCCTCCCCCCGCAGAGTCCCGTAAAAGCAACAGAGGTGACTAGGCCACGCGAGCCGGCGTGGTGTCCCTCCGCCCGGCCGAGGGCACTCCTTTTCGTGTCTTTCCACCGTTCCCGGGCGGCGTCCGGGCGGCTCACCGGGGGCGGCGACGCGGTTGCGGCGCGGTCGGCCAGGCTCCAGGGCTATGAGGTGAGGGCGCCCGGGTACAGGAGGCGGCAGCGCGGCGCCAGGACGCAGGACGCAAGCCTCGAAGCTGGCGGCTGCCTCTGGGACCCCGCGGCCGCGCGTGAGGCGAGGTGAGGCCTGGGGCGCGGGGGACGCGGGGGCGCGGGGGCGCGGCGCGATGGAGGCGGGGGGCTCTGGCCGCGGCTGGGACTCATTTCCCGACAGCGGATGGAGCGGGCGGTGCTGCGGCGTGCGCCGCCATCTTGGATTTTACTCTCCATTTTTCTCTGGAATTATTTTTTGGTGATTAATTTTTTTGTGGGACGGGAAGTGTCGTCCGGCAGCGCGGAACCCCCAGCGCAGCGGCCGGGCAAGGGGCTTCGACGCGCCCTGAGGAGCGGGCAGTGGCCGGCGGTGAGCGGGCTGGCGGGCGCCGGTGCGGGGGGCGGCGGCGGGCTGGGGGCGGGCGCGGGGGCGCCGGGCCGGGCGGGGGCCGGGGCCGCGGGTGGGGCGCGGCGGCGGCGGCGGCGGCGGCGGCGGCGGCGGGGGCGGCCGGGGCGCCGGGCCTGCAGTAGGCGCCGCCGCCGGAAGGGAGCGGTAGCGGCCACCGGGCGGCGCGGGGCCGGGCCGCGGCCGCACGAGGGGAGCAGCCCCGCCGCTCGCGATTGGGGGACTCTGTTTTCCCTGTTCTCCAATGGGCAGCCGTGAACGGTCTCGCCCAATCTGCTCCCTCAGCCGCGCTCAACTTGGGGTTGTTTTTGTTTGGGCTCGAGCGTCCTCTCGGCTTTGCTCGCGGGCCGGTCCCCCACCCCTCTCCGCCCCTCGGTTGACAGCGGCTCCGGCTCCCTCGTCCCCCTCGCCCCGGCTCCCTCTGCGCTTCAGGCGCCTCGGTCCTGAGAAAACGCGTGGCCCCTTCGGAGGGATTGTCCTTGCACAGACTGAGGTGATGTGTGGCCGCGTCACTCCCACCTGTGAGAGGGGGAGACGCGCTGCCGAGATGACAATGCGACCCAACTTGTTGGAATGGCAGCAGGCGCCTCGGACCGGACAAGTTCGCTCGCTCGCTCTCCTCGGGCGTTTGACCCCGTTCTGGACCTCGCATTTCCCACCCACTGAGTGCGGGTCGCGGGGGTGAAAACGCGTTCTTGGAGTTCATTTTTAAGAACTTGCGAAGTGAAGTGCGTTGTGTGTGTGTGGCGGGACGACCCCGGCTGGCGGGCCGACGGACGGGGGTCGCGATGCGATGCTTCCCGGGGCCGCCCGAGATTCGAACTGCCCTGACTGAGCGCAGTGGAGCGCGGCGGCGCGGCTCGGCGACCGTGTGCGGGGTCGGCGGCGGCGGGGGCGCGCAGGCGCCCGCGGAAACTTTCCCCGTGGCCTCGGACCCTGAGAACGCGCCGGCGGCCTGTGAGGAGGAGCGGCGCGGCGCGCCGGTGCGGAGAAGGGCGGGGGAGCCCCGTGTGCCCGCCAGCACCGCGCCGAGGGAGCCCGCGGAGCGCGCCCCTGAGGAGTTACTTGTATCCGCAGCGGATACAAGGTTGCTTTGCAGCCAGGGTTTAGCAACTTGAACGCTAGGCGTGGCCCGCCAGGGTCCGGGCTGCTTATCGTGCTCCGGGGTAAAAGTCCAGGGCGGCTTCTCACCCCTGCGTGTGGGGGAGCTCGGGCCCATTTTTCAGGTTTTGAAATTTTCAGCTTTTAGGAATCTAAGCCTCCGGCCTTCCGCTCTCCCTTCGCGAAGCACGAGCCCCGCCGGTGTCCCGCGCCGGGGCCCCCGCCCCGCACGCCCTCGCGCGGACCCCTCTCTCGCGCAGGGGGCGCGGCCCGCCCTCGGGGTCCCCGGCAGCGGTCTCGTGTTATGGGCGGCTGCTCCCTTGCCCGTCCCCAAGGGAGCTTGTTATCACCTCTCTCCGTTCAGGGGCCAGTGCAGAGAAGGAAAGTGTTAAATTTATTACTTTCCAAGTTACCAAGTTAAATAGTTTGTATTTAGTTTTTCAAAATGTCCTTTCCACTGTTACTTAAAACGTCATTAGCGAAACAGTTTCACAGTGAAATGAATATTACGGATATTTACTCTTTGTAAAGAGCGTATCGTTGGGCTGTGTTGTTACCCACAAACTTTGACAAGGAACCCCCTGCCAGAGCCCTTTCCAGGCGCCCCTGTGCCCGCGCTTCGCGTCGCCGCCGCGGCGGTCGCGCTGCCTGGGGCTCTGCGGCCGCGGGCGGTGCCTGGGCGGGGGGCGGGCTGTCCGTCCGCCGCCTCCGAGCGTGGAGTTTTGTGGGTGGGGGCGTTGGTTTGTAAGTTTTTCCCTGGGTCATATAAATCTGTCACTGAATTTGATTTTTCTTTACATGAATACCACTTTGTTGTAGGACACGAGAACATCGCTCAGTTGTGTTACAAAAACACTTATTTGTGTGTGTAGCATCTGAACAGCCCCTTGTACACAGGAGTGCCCTGCTCATGGCTTATGAGAGCAAATCCTTTCAGATAAATCACCTAAATGCCACTATTTCATACTTCCATTATTTTATATGAGCATTACTTTCCATTCTCCAAAATCCTCTGTGGGTTTCACTTAGCAAACATCTTGTTTTATTCAGTTGACATGTTCCCAAATTTTAGTCGTGCACATCTTATTTTAAATGCATTACAGGATTTTACTGTCTTAAAGGTGTGCTATAGAGAGAATCCATCTGTATAGGAAAGAATCATCACTATTTTTATAACTCACATTAGTGTCTGATGTTACTTTTGATCTCTATATTGCTCAGAGGCAGTAAGGTAGAGTAGGTGAAGTATCTTTGCATAGTTGGTGATGGAACCAGGGACCATTTGCACAAAAGGAAAAAAAGTCACTCATTTCCATAATTGTGGATGCTCAATTACATGTTGCTTCCTAACGTTCCTTTCATTGCCCCTGGAACCAAGGACCAGTTTGGTCGCTCATGGCCTCTGGCCCCCAGGTTTGCCAGCCAGACGTGGGGCTGGCAGGTGTCTGTGCGAGGGAAGCTCAGCCACCACACAGGCTTCTAGGGTTGCGTGTAGGTACGACCGCTGCGTCTGCACCTAATCCTAGGGCTGGTTGAAGGACAGTTGGAGTAAGAATCTCCACCTATGTCCCAGTTTGCTCTGTCACTATTTATATAAGACATGGATAGGGCCAAGCCTCAGTTACTTTGTAAAATAATTAAACATTAATCTCTGCAGTCACTTCCAACCCTATAGTACAGTTCATCTTTTTTTTTTTTTTAAAGATTTTATTTATTTATTTTTAGAGAGTGGGGAAGGAAGGAAGGAAGGAAGAAAGGAAGGAAAATATAGATTGGTTGCATCTCACATGTCCCCAGCTGGGGACCTGGCCTACACCCCAGGCCTGTGCCCTGACGAGAATCCAACCAGCAACCCTTTGATTTGCAGGCGGGCACTCAATCCACTGAGCCACACCAACCAGGGCTATAATTTATACATTTAATTGCCGCACTGTTTTCTTGCAGGGGTATGCAGCCTGTAGTCCACAGGCTGCATGTGGCTCAGGATGGCTATAATGTGACCCATCACAAAATAATAAATTTACTTAAAACATGAGATTTTTTTTGTGATTACTTGTCACAGTGTATTTATTGTGTAGCCCAAGACAACTCTTCTTGCAGTGTGGCCCAGAGACACCAAAGGGTTGGACACCCCTGTAAGGGCTATTTTAATCATATGTTGACATCTAATTGGTTTACGTAATTTTTCTGTATAGTCCATGTAGTGGTTTTTTTTTTTTTTTTTAATGAGATTGATGGTATAGCTCACAGTTGGGTTTTAGAATTGAGAAACTCGGGTACATCAGTGTCCCAAAAGCTTGATTCTTAAGGTCTGTATGGCTCCTTCTTGTCAGATGCATCTCTGCAAAATATCTTAGTTTCTGTGTTATAACAGTACACTAAAGACAAAAGTAAATAGACCTGGGAAACATTCCTTGGTGATAAGCCTCTATTTCTGGCTGATGCGTATGTGGCTAGTATATTGGAGTAAATCCCCAGACTGCCGCGTAAATGCTAGGGTTTTAGACCCAGCCTCACCACATAATAGCAATTTGACTTCAGGAAAGCATCTTCATTTCTGAGCTTTAGCCATCCCATGTGCAGTGCTAACACGTGACTCACTCATATCATAGCGCTGCCCGGCTGTCAAACTCTCAGTCCTATGCATTAGGGTGAAACAAATGCGTGTGTTCTGATTGGGCTTCTAGTTGCAACAGTTGGTCACCAAATCTCTAACGGCACTAGGATTGCCTCTCCAGTCTTGGGCAAAAGACCCACCCCTTCAGTTAAGGGCTCTTCTGCTTCCCAGTCTGTGGACTGATGTTCCTGGAAGCTGAAGCTCTCGCGCCCTCTGCTGTTCCCCGGACACAGCCAGTATTCCAGCACCACGAACAGTGCCCAGCGGCTGCCAGTAGGTTCTTGGTAAATGTTGGATTGAGTGGATTCCAGACCTGCAGAAGGGTTCATTTTGTCTGTCTGATTTGTATAACAGGATTGATTGAAGTGTCTGATAAAGTTTAAAGATTCCTGAGGAGCATTTTCATTTTCCAGGAAATGCTTATGTGGCATGATGTGAAGGGATATATATATTTAGCAAGAAAACCAACCTACTCTTAAAAAGGTGGAGCTCCCTGACTAAGGAGGAAAGGGGGCCTCGTCCTTCAGCCAGTGGAGTCTGGGGCTGGAGAAGCCAGATGGAAACCTCCTTTTTCCTCTCCCTTTAAACAGGGACAAAAACAGTCCTCATTCTGGGTCCAGGAGGATGTAGACAAAGCCAGTTGTCTCAGAAACTATTTGTTCATTGGATATAAAGAGCTACCAGGAGTGTTTTGACTCCCTCAAAAGGTGATTGTGTCTGTATTTATGCTTGTGATTTAATTTTCCCTGTCATCCAATTTAAAATCTGTTACCACTATTCTGTCTCCTAACATCCTATTTGTTTCCTTTATAGCTCTTACCAGAATTTATAGTTTCATGCTTATTAGATTGCTTATCTCTCTTCGCAAACTGTACTTTGAGCCCCATGAAATCAGGAACTATGTCTGTTTTGTACTAGGGTCTTACTCTTCAAATATGAGGCAAAGTGCACATGTAACATCAT